ATTAATATGTACAACTAAAATTACTAATAAAGATATGAGCAAGGCCTCACCTTAACACCAAAAAAAAAAAAAATAATAAATTATATAAGTTATATTTTTTTGAACACCTAGTAACTGACAGAAAAAATTTTTAGAATATTCTAAATAATATTTTTTTAGTTTGAAATAGCAATTTTACTTGTATGTCTTTTATTAAATAATATATAATTATATGTAATATATATAATCTATTAACAAAAATATAACTAGTCATATTTATAAGTTTAATCATTATCTAATTAAAGGGTTTATTTATAGGTTATCTACTAGATGCCATATCTAAGACCTGTCTTTGAGTTACCTATTTAAACTTTCTGATTTTCAATACTATTTTACATATATATACAATACTTATATTATTATTGTAATAACATGTTAAGTTAGGACTATTTAATTACTATTTATATCTAAATACTATCTCATTGAAGGTTACTAAATATTTATAGTCCTTTGAATTTACTCTCAACACAGACTTACTAAGTATGTTACTAAGATTATCTCTTAGATTTATCCAATTTCAATATATTCTGTATTTACTAAAACCAGTATTAATACCAAAGGTGTTCAAATTTCAGTAAGTTCATTTCTTTTCTATAGTTTTCTTTTATGTTCATTGTATCACCCACTAATGTGCCTTCTCTTTATTTCTGATATGTTCATTACTTCTCTCATATCAAATGCCAACTCTCCATATTAGAAAACTTCTTTTTGAGAATTTCCTTATACCCTGATCTTCTATTCACATGGACTTAAGTCACAGGATTTCATGTACATTCATATGCTTCTGTAGATTACAAAGTTTTGCCTCCAACTAGAATTGACCCATTGACCTTGTCTGTGGAAGGAGGGGCGCCTAGACCACTAGGCTACGGGACCACATTCTTCCTCCAAACAACACTTGGAAGAGAAGAGAATTTTAATTAAATATAACCAAAGACAAAAAGGTGTTCACAAATAAAAACCAATAACAATAAAATCATAAACACAATACTTCCAAGACATATGATCCACAATCCTCAAAACAACAATTTCTCACTCGGATTATACATGGGCTAGGTGTTGGGAAAAGGGCCGAATAAAAAAAAAAAAGACCTTCAGAAAATCAATTTTAATATTGTAATTCTTATAATAAACCATAAGAAAATGCAAACTTTAAAGAGTTATATTGCAAAATTTTATTAATACAACTACTTTTGTATCTTAAGGAAAAACTGAACTAATTTTATTCTAAATTGATTTATGTAAAAAAAGAAAAAAAAAACCTTTTAGAAAAATTATTTTCGTTTCCTAGCCCATATGTTCAAGCATTTCCCATCTCTGCAGATTTTATGTTCATTCAATTTCTTCGTCATAACAATATCTACTATTAATGTTCCACTAGCGTCACCAATTATGTTCATACTTTTTACTACCAATTCTATTAATATAACAACAATTTCTCAGCGTTCCCACCTCTGCGAATTTTAAAATAAATAGATGACTTATGTTCATCCTTTTCAACGTTCCTTCACTATAACAATATCCAACATTAATGTTTCACCGGCGTCACCTATTTCTGCTAATTTTTTGATAATATATGAATGCTTTATGTTCATTTTTTTCATCAATTTCTTAAAATAATAAAAATCTCTTGTCTACATTATATGTTTCACCATTGTTTTCTATCTTTGCAGATTTTTGAAAATGGATAAATTCCTTATGTTTATCCTTTTCAACTTCAACTTCTTTGTCATAGCAATATATACACCTATTAAGATTCGAACAAGTACATCTGCAAGTGCACAGCTAGTGTTTTCCGCCTTTTGATCTAAAACTATTGCGAATTGCAGAAATTGACTCGTCGTTTAGCTGTCTTCAATATCATTATTCGATTAATGCTGTGATAAATTTTTTAAAAAAATTGAGGAAATTCTCTGTTACATATCAACCAATAATATGCAAGATCAATGTATTAATAAAAATATAATAATCAATTATATACATATATTATAATTATATTATGTATTATTAAACAAATAACTTTTTTAAAATTTATTTATTTAAACCTTAAAACCTATCCTAACCACTAACCTAATTGCTCGCCCTAACCCTAAATTAAATCCCCATCTAAACTGAAATTTACTCATCAAAAAAAATTCTATCTACGTCTAGAAAACCTACCATTAATATAAATAGATAACACGCATGAACTAAAATATTATAATACATAATACGGTGCTGTTCAATGATACTGTTGTACTCTGAATTTGGATCTGTCCCGATTCAGAATTGGGACAGTCTCGGATAAAAATTTTGTAATCCTAAAGTCTTAATTCTGCCAAAACAATCCTATCCGAGACAGCTTGATCCTGAATTGGGACGATTTCAATATGGAGTACGACCAATAATACCAATAAAAGACACCGTAAAACGACGATATTACGAAGTGATAGAATAACATCAACACTAAAGACTTCGGCACCAGCACTACACACAACATTACACAAATGAATGTCGCTCCACTAAGTGACAAATCATATATGACTACACCAGCAAACGACAACTCCAGGAAACGACGATACAGAATACAACCCATCGGCAAACGATGAAACAATCCAGCAACATTGTAGTAAAAAAAAGACTGGTTAATTAAAAAAGAAAAAATCAATTCAAAAAAAAGCTATACATATCTATATGGAACGAAAGTACCAATATAAGACATAAACAATAACTCCAAGAAACCGCGATACCGAATACAACCTATCAAATAAATAAGGACAATCCAGCAACGCGACTGTGAAAAAAAGATTGAGTAAAAGAAAAAAAAACGATACAACAAAAAAACAATTAATGTGGATCGAAATAGCAATGTTATCCAAGCTATTCCAAATTACACGATGAATAATATCACGAAGTATTAATGCCTTATTGCTATTGCAGAGTTCGTGTGATATTATTCATCACATAGTTAGATAACATCGCTAGAACGAAAGCACTAACATAAAACATGAACTACGACTTCATGAAACGATAATGCCAAATACAACCAATCAGCCAACAAAAAACTAAACGACAATTCAGCGATGCAACTGTAAAAAAAACTGGTTAGTGAACGAAAGAAAAACCAAACCAAAAAAAAATTCTATACTTATCAATATGGGACAAAGCACCAACGTAAAGCACCAACATATGATTATTTCACCAGCATACAAACACAAAGATGGCATCAACATACAACGATTCCAAGAGACAGCATCAACAAAAGTGAAATACCCAATGCAATGATTCCAAGACAACTCCAAGTAACGGCATCAATCTATGACGACCCCAGGGAACAGCACCAGCTAGAGTTAATTATCCACGACGTCGACAACAGAAAAAAAGTCACTAAAATGAAAGTTACAAAAAAAAATAATATAGATTAGTATAATACAAAAAAAAAAAAAAAAAAAACAATACAAACAAAAAAATACGTATATATGTAAGTTCTGTTGTAACTGGGAAGGATATTCGGGTTAAGCGTAATTATTGTCTAAAATAAATGAATAAATAATATTAGTATATTTATCAAATAAATACAATAGAAATTATCACACTCAGAATATTCATAACCAACCAGCCAGCATGGTATTATTTCTAAAACTAGAATAATATAACCACCTGTAAGACGTCATTACTGTTACAAAGTATCCGCGAACAACAGACCAGCATAGTATAACTAGCTGGGGCGTCATAAATATGTTCAAGCTAGGTAAGCTAAATATGCTAATTAAGCCACGCTAATTAAGCATGTGTAGCTCTCCCACATCAACAATGTTATCTCTCTCTTAGTTTCTCCAATAAACTAAGATGTCCTCAATAACAAGCGTCCGCAGGCAACAGAGTACATTGAACATATTCCAAGGATACTTTTCCCCAGGTGATATAATTATTCAGTTTAAATACCATTCGAATATTAAAATATCCTTAACCGGCTTCCTTTGAATATCCATTCATCATAGTGCAAAAGCTATTATTTGACGACATATACCTTAAAAAATGTTTTTTCGAAAATATAATTAACATCTAATAAAAATAATTTTTTGTTTATAAGAGGAGAAAAAAAAAGGTTTTTATCGTTATAAACAAAATTTCATTATACGAAATCAACAACATATACGTTTGTTTATCCTGATTGAACAAAAAACTTATTAATATGACGTGATAAAATATCATATGATCTACATCATGTCTGATTAATTCATTTGATTGGGTGTTATGAGTGTGACAGTGATGATCACAAGGAGAAACCGGTAATGTTACACAAGTGAGGGATTATATCCATCACATATAAATAATTTCAATTTAACTGATCACTCCGCGTGAACGAGCATAGAAGACACTCGTATCCGATAGATTCCGAAACCACTGTTACACGAAGTATTTATATGGCCAATTGAAAAATTGATATACAATAGTAGTCTAAAAACCGGAAACTTCACAATCTGTTTACTGAAATAAGTCTAACCAATAGTGTCAATATTTTTTAATAAATTTCTTCGTTATGAGTGTTCCTGATAGAAAATCTTTTCCAATCGTTTTCAATCGCTTTCCCCAGGAAGTTTTCATAGGAGCGAAAGTAGGTGCTTAATAAATTATAGTAATTAGCAGGGTTTGTTTGTTTTATGCTCTTAGTTGTTTGTTTAATTTCTAACGTGCTTGAATCGTCTAATACTGATATATTCATTATGAATTTGAAAATACAGTCGACTCTGGATATAATGAACCTCTCTATAACAAACTCTGGATATAAAGAACTATAATCAACTCTCTCTATAATGAACCAACGATTCTGGAAAAAAAAATAAGTTTGCTATATAAAATTACTCTGTTTTTTTAATAGCCATTACACTTTCATACCAAACTAATATAAATTTTAAATTTGTTTAGTTCTTTATATTCAGAGTTTGTTATTGAGAGGTTTGTTAGATCCAGAGTCAACTGTAAAAATTTTAAATTAGTTAGGTATAGAAAGTGTAATGGGCTATTAACAGTTAGCGGACATGTGCAAATGTATTTGATCAAATTAATTGACATAAATTTTATAATGAACCTCTTTATAACGAACTCTGAATATAAAGAACTACAGTCAACTTTATAATGAACTGACGATTCTGAAAGAAAAAAAATTCGCTATAGAAAATTGCTATGTTTTCTTAATAGTCAATTACACTTTCTATACCAAGCTAATAGAAAAATTTGTAGTTCTTTATATTCAGAGTTCGTTATAGAGGTTCGTTAGATCCAGAGTTTGTTATAGAGGTTCTTTATATCTAGAGTTCGTTATAGAGGTTCTTTATATCCAGAGTTCATTATAGAGGTTCTTTATATCCAGAGTTCGTTATAGAGGTTCTTATATCCAGAATTTGTTATAGAGGTTCTTATATCCAGGGTCAATCATATAAATTTTTAAAATTTATATTAGTTTAGTATAGACATGTTATTTATAATTGTGGATGTATTTGATCAAATTAATTGATGTACTTAGTAAATTTATAATAAAATAAAAATCAAGTTCAAATTTAATTACTTTAAGTAACAGTTAATAATAAAGTTGAAAATAATTTTAATCTTAAAATTGAAAGTTTCTTTACTATGTTTCTTAAGTTAAAAAACTGACCCATTATAAAATAATATAAATATTTTGGCATAATTTTGTGAGGAATTTACAAATAAGAGTCACAAAAACGAAAATAATTACAAATAAAGGCTCAAAATGAAAATAATTACAGATAGAGCCCTGATATTTGAAAATTATTACAAATAAGAGCCTAAATATATCGCCAAAATTGCTAGTCAATTTAATGATAACTTATTTCGTAATTAAATAGGTGTTTTAGAGTTATTATTCTATAATTCCATTTGCTTATAATTACAAAATTTTAAATCAACTCATATTATGCATATTGAAGTCAAGATATGATTATAGTAGGTTT